GTATACTTATATCTTGTTGTGATGCCGATATTTATATCAGAACAATATAGATAAACAAAAAGTATATTATTTTATATCTGATATATATCCTTTATATTGCTCTAATAATGATACCTGTTATTCTACTGATATCATACTTTTTAAATTAGCCCGATATTCATATCAGTATAATAATAGGATTATATAGGCATATCTCAATAGTCATACATTTGACCTGTGATAGATGAAGAAAAAAGATAGCCTAGCAATTTATCTAACATCTATTAAAGAAATTCCTGTTCCGGAAGGGCCTAGGGAAAACAATTCAACTATGGTAAAGGTTATTACTATGTTATTTCTAGTAAAAATATTAACTAAGGAACAACAAAAAGAAGTATAGCTTATTCTAAAAAAATATAGAGAATTATTTTTAATAGTTTAGATAAGTTGGGATATGCTGCCAAAGTACAACATAAAATAGAAACAAAAAACACAAGACTGATTAGACAATTCACATATTGCATAGCCCTGGATAAACAAGACTTTTTAAATAAGAAAGTTAAAAAGTTACTAGATAATAGTCATATCTATGAATCAAAAAGCTCCTGGATATCACCCATTGTCATAGTTCCCAAGAAAAATAGAAAGCTTCAGTTATATATAGATTACCATAAGCTAAATACTATGACCAAAATTGATACTTATCTCTTACTCCAGATAGATAATTTACTTGAAATCTTCAGTAATTCTGAATGGTTTCCAAGTCTCAATCTAGCTAATAGTTACTGGCAAATTAAAGTAAAACCAGAGGACCAAGAAAAAATGACTTTTATTACCAAGTAGGAGGTTTATGCCTTCAGGGTAATATCATTTGGGCTATGCAATGCCTTAGTGATCTTTCAACATACTATAAACCACATTCTATACAAATTTCTAAGGCAATTTGTGGCAGTTTACTTAGATAATATCATAATTTATTCAAAAACTTATGCAGACCTTCTAAATCATCTACAAAAAGTATTCAAAAAAATTAAAGCTGCAGAATTAAAATTTAATCTGAAAAAATACAAGCTATTCAAGCATAACATACAATTACTAAGACATGTAGTAGGCCAAGACAGCATCAAACTTGACCCAATAAAAATAGCAAAGGTCAAGGAATTTCCTACCCTACCAACTTAAGGCAGCTCCAAGAATTCATAGGACTCGCCTCATATTATAAACAATTTATCTAAGAATTTGCTGCCACAGCCAAGCCTCTATACAAGTTGTTGAAAATGGCAAGAAATATGAGTGGAGAGAGTCTTAGAAAAGCCTTTCTAACTCTAAAAACACACCAAACTATGGCTCCAGTGTTAAAATATCTGGATTTTTCCAAAACCTTTTATCTCTACACTAATGTCTCTGGCACTGGGCTAGAAACTGTATTGTCTCAGAAAGGTGAAAATGAAAAAGAGTACATTATAGCCTATGCTAGTAAAGGCCTTACTAGAGCAGAGCAAAACTATGCTACTACCAAATTGGAGTATTATGCTATAATTTGGGGTGTGGAATATTTTCACCACTACTTGGGCTACAAACCATTTATTATCATAACTGATCATGTCACGCTTTACACAGGTCGAATATATAAATAAAGATTAAATAACGGAATATATCTTTATTGACCCGTTATTTACCCGATATGCATATCGGAAAAGAATAATGGTAAACTAAC